TTATTATTTTTTTTCTGACGGCAGCTGTTTGATCGCATGTAAACTTGTGAGGATCAGGTTTAATACTCTTATCAGATTCATGTATGGTGATGTGGACAGTCAATTTGAAAACCACGGTTAATAACTGACTATATGCTTAACTATGTGTGAGATAATACACTGCTACCCGAGGGATATATTCAAGAGTCAGAGAAAGGTGTTCAAGGTATATATATATATATATATATATATATATATATCACGATATATATATATCACGAGTGGGTGGCAGTGTTTTTTGACATATATTACTGTGAGCAAGTACTCGCATTTCACCGAAAAACACCTTAAAAACGAATAAAGCGTATAACTTCACGATCACATAACATCTCAAGGTATGTATCTCTGTACACAAACCATACCAAAATCTAGGAATTACTGATCAAGTGGACCAACTAAAAAAATATATTATTTTTGTCCCTATTTTCATCACATCTCTACATCATTTAAGATCGCTTTGAATGTACTCTAAAGGTTCTGTGCTGCAGCTATGATAATGTGCATTTTCAAATATCAAAAGGTAAAACTCAATGTCCTGTAATAACCATTACATCATTCGTTCAGTAAAGACCACTGTTACTTTATTATTCGCCACTTTACTGTATTTACTTTTTAGTTTTCTATGCTCTAAGTCTAAACATGATTACATTATATTAAGATATATGAAAAAAATAAACATATAATTCAATAACTAATTTAGTTCCAATACGGACGCCTCCTTCAACGTCCCTATTCCAGGTTTCCGGCGAGGCGGCGCAGGTGGCGTTCGCAGTAACAAGTTTTGTGGAGTTGTTTCCAAGAGTTCAGGGTGGTGATAACAACTGCAGCTGAGGCCTGGCTCATTTTCTGCAATTAAAGACAATGTTCATACACAACCTGTCTGCAATTTGCTGCCTGTTTCGTGGGTCAGATGTTTTTTGATCTCAGTCGGTCAATTTTTTTCAAATTTCTTGTCACGTTTTGTTATTGATTGCTTCGCTTTTCGAGGTTTGATTGATATTGCTTTGAAATAATGCACATTACGACAATAAAAATTGGGCCAAATGTCATTACTGAAATAACCAAAAGAATCTGTTATACAAAGAATGGTTTTGTAACATGACTTCTGATATCGCTATGGCTATTTATCCAAATGTTATATTTGATATATTATAGAATGTTACATTCAATATTTTTCTATTTGGAAAAAAATAATCGATAATGCAAAAAAGCGGCTTTTGCATTTTCATGAAAACAAAAAGGAAATCAGGTGAAACAACTTGCCCATAATTGTCTAATTACGTCAAACGCAATTACTATAATGATTATGACAACAGATGTTTATATTCCTTAATTTTGGCTTAATTAAACATGAACATTCTTTGATGATTTTTCCAAAGGGCATAATGACATTAGAAACTATTACCAATAACATCGTCTCTGCGCATCAGTCTGCTTAACAATTTAAATAAAATAAAATTATTTATATGTAAGTAATTATTTTTTTTTATCACAAGCCGGTATTCTGCCCTCGCCGTTAGCTTGGGGTTAACCTGGTCGGAGGCCGTCATCATAAATACAGCTTTAGATATTAAATAATTACTATTATATGATTCAACTGCCAAAGTAATGAACACTTTTGCTGAAATTATCGATAATATATTGCAAATAGATTCAACCCATGTTACTACTTTTACCGCCCTTTTATTTGCATTGACTGATTTGCACTGACTGATGATTTTAACTAGAAATCACTCTATACATTAGTTTTCTTTAATGTTCGGAGAGAGAGAGAGAGAGAAAGAGAGAGAGAGAGATGAGATCTCATCCCTCTCAAACGCGTGCCGCTTAATGAAGTATTTCCTCTGATCTTTCAAGTCCTACCTGTTGAAAAGTAAATGAACGACCTTCTTGCTATTAATGCCCCTAACAAGTTTGGATAGTCCCTCGTTCCCAGAGTCCGGTTACATGCCGGAGAGATTATCACTTGTAGATCAACGTAAGTACGGCAGCAAAGCACAGCAGATTCGCTGTGGACGCTATCAGTTTTCGAAACTTTTAATCTTGTTCGATTTACCGAGTAAATTCGATTAAGGCCACCTTCAGACGAGATGGTCCGAGGAAGAGAACGGAGAGATGAGGGGAAAAGAATTGGGACGGAAATTTACCGAGTGTGGTTGTATTTTGTTGTATTTATTGTTGTTCGTCATTTGTCTCGCTTCAAAATTACATATTGACACAATAAATACTAAAACGTATTCAACTGGCATCATAGTAGAGAGAAAGTGGCTTGAAGATAGAGTCAAATGAACTCTTTGATTAAATCTTTTTTTATTCATTTATCTATCTAATTATTCTTTTTTCTATTCATAAATTAGGCATTCGATAACATATATTGACCACTCGTAATGTCAAACTGTGTCAACTTTGTCCGTGTAATTACAGTAGACTTTGAAATTACTATTGCTGTCCATTTAAAGCCACCCTAAAGACACGTGATGCGGTTTACATGGGGACAAAATTGGCTAAATTGGCTTGTTGTGGTTAAAAGTCTCAATCGCAAGATTTGTTGGGTAGATATTTAGTTATTAAAGAGATGTTTATATTTTAATGCTTCACCTCTTTAAGATTTAAAGTATATCAAGAGAATAAATTTAATTAGACAATAAAGAGAAACTCTTTGTCAGAGTTACGAGAGACACTAAACCACAGTGAAAAAACTATTGAAACATGGAATAAATGGCTACTCCTTATCACTAAGATTTGGTAAGGGAATTTTGGCTTAACTTAAACACATTCGGGAGTCCGCCTTTCATTAGATCCATAAAGGTTATGGTTAACATGAGATTAGTGGATGAAAACCAAGGACAGGTTCAGGCACGTAGCCGGCAGTTCCAAAGGAGGGGGGGTCTTTTTCTGAAAAAAAAATGGACCTTTTACCATAAAAACTTAATGTACCAAGATCAAATTTTACTCAGAACGGACCTTATTCCAGCAAAAAGGGCGGTTCTTTCTAACCCCCCGAACCGCCTGGCTACGGGCCTGGGGTTTATCAATGAGAACTGGACCCTATATCACAGGGGACCTCTCCCTTATTCGACACCAGCCAGCCAGACCTGCCTAGAAAGCACATGGTGTTGCTATACAAGGATGTGTGTATGTACGTGTGGTAAGGTGGTCTTGACGCACACATTGTACTGACATATGTATATGACAACCTAAGATCGTGAGAAAACTTCTGTTTCCATTCAAGACAATAAAAGACAACTGTCACACCTGTGAAAATTACAGAAGTGAAAAATTAAGAAAAAAAAAACAGCACTGAAGAAAAACTCCGACGCCCATTAGAATCATACATTGACTTCATCAGACTATTACAGTCCATCACAAAATTCCAGAAGCGTTACGCCCAGCAATGAATTAATTTGAAAATTCTGAAGTTCGTGTTAGGCTAAAAAGAGTTCTTGCGTCCGAATTGTATAACCGTAAGTTGTTTTCCTCACCGTTGTTGACTTCTGTCGTCAAATTACGACCTCCGAGCAACAACTTGTGGCTAAGTTCAATCGCTATTTTCCTAACATCGTGAACCGAGACAGGCACTAATTGTTCGACTTCACGGCTGGAAAAATCCTCTCTCTGAAAAGTCACGCAGTAATGTCTAATGTAAGCCATAGGTGATGCAATCAACAGGGTCGGGCAAATGATAAAAGCTGTTGTTTTGACTTATACCCTTACGGTCACCTGTCGGTGTGACAGAAATTTAGACACAGCCACTGAGAGCTAATGAAGTAAAAACTGGCATCAGTCGACTGGAATGATTCGGTACCCGACGGTGATTGCGTTCGACTTGCTTGAATCCCTATCAATCGGGAAATATTCGGAGGGACGCACTTAAAGCCCTTAGGGAGAAAGTAGCCGACCCCTTCTTTAAAGAAATTGGTTCAATTGGTAACAAGCAGGTGATTTCTCTCACGAGAGCACGCGCGGATTAGCAGGGATGCGTGCTCCCGTGAAAGTGAACAATAAAGGGCATATTACGATGTTTTTCTTACATACCGCTTACGTCAGCCTTTAGCTTTGTGCGTTGGCTTCTCCCAAGCATAACAGCATGAAAAGAACCAACGGAACCGTTTCAGAATCACACACCTTGCATGAAATCGGGAGTTTAATGTCCCTTCACCAACTTCTGACCCTTAAAGTGACCAAGACTCGGCAGGCGTTTTCATACTGCATAGTAAAATCACAACTACACCTGAGATCTTGAAATGAGCCCAAGGGTCGTGCGGGTTCGAATGTGAACGTTGAAGAGTTTACCTCTTTCATCATTATTTACGGTTCGAAATCAACGACAACAACCTCACACACACGGTGAACTTGCTTCTTGTTTTCTATTCCAGGATCACTGCAACCTGCCTTGAATTTAAAAGCAAAGGAGAATGGCAGAATACTCTACGTTGTTTATTTGATGCGTTTTCCGTCAGTTTAACTTTATGTACTACAGTATTATTTTGCATCCAACTAGTGTATTTTTCAGCGGCCGTAATGTGGTGTGCTCTAAATCGGTTTCGCTGCTTGTTTGATACGAAATTAACACATGCGACTTCACCACTTTTTTTTTCATGCCCATCTGCTGTATGTGTCTGTTTTTCTAATATTTGAAATATATGCATAACCCGCCTTTTAATTTTCCAAAGCCCTTCTTCAGTTACTCGATGGTGTAAAGAAAGGAATAGAATCAATTATGACCTCTCTGATTCTTGATCACTGAAAAATATCACTGATCATCAATACATTAATTACACTGAAACAAAGCATAATGAACGGCACGCGAGCTTCGTTTATACTGCTCCCCGCTGTTAATACTGTACCGGATCTATCTGTATAGAAAAGAGATCTAAAGAAAGAGAGCAAATTTGACGTTCTGATAATACATAACAATGGATGAAAAACAAAAACTATGATCTGTATTTCTCATACACAATTTTATTCCTTCAGAGACCTTAGTTAAACACTTCCTCCCTAACAGACATTGTACACATTGTTGTGGACTATACAATACTCAGCAAACTTGTCTTGCTATCAGTCCCACTGCAAAAAAGCTCAGGGACCAGTCTGACAATAGATCCCCGGTCCGAAAATTGATCAAAAAACGTTTAAACCAAAATGTCCGTATATTTTTGTTCATAATAAAACTTAAATTTAGCCCGTCTTTCTTCTTATAAAACGAGCGCAGTATTTAAGTTAATTGGACAACTTCTGATTTATCAAGTGTTAACGTAGAGTACAATTTTCAGTCTTAAAATTTTATTCAAACCAATTTTCGGAAAGTGTTTTCGAAAAAAAGAAAAAAACTCAGACACCAAATGAGACTCCCAAGAACAGGTTTTGACCGTTCGCTGTACGCACCTCAACGTTGGCATTTAGTGTGGCGCTTAAGTTATATTAATTACCTTCTTCCTTTCCTAAATCTTACATGGTTTTAAGTGAGCTACATTGTAACATACACCTATCTTCTAACCAAAGGCAGGATTTGAATACAATCTAAAAACAAACTCTTATATAATAACCTACACGGTCAGCATGCAAATGCCTTATGGGCGACGTTCCGTGCTCCGTGGAAACTCTCTAAATAAATAATCTCATCTAATAAGATGTTTAATTGGAGTTAATGAAATCATCAACAGTTTATTTTTTCTGTCTACCCTGTGAGAGCCGGCCACTTAGAGTGGCTATGTGTCTAAGACGCGTGGATCCAGTCGCACGCGCAGCAGATAAATGATAAATAAATACGAACGGGGCGTCTGTGCATCTCAGCTTAACTTAACCACCGACTGCAGCTCTACCTTGCATTTAAACGCAGAAAACTGAGTCACCTGCTTTTGAGATACAGTGTAGAGTTCTACATACACGTGCTTTGCTCAATGCTCAATTTCAAACCTTTTTCCCCATCTAAGTTGACGTGAGACCTCTTAGCACCAATAAATTCATTAACTATACTTAACATTTAATATAAACGATTAAATAACGAAACCGTGTTGGCATATAAATATCTCAAAGCCAATGTTAAATAACCTCTATGAAAAATAATGATTCATATCAAATGACTTAAACCGTGAAAACAAATCAGCAGACTTATCTGCGGCTGAGACAGAAATAACAAATATTTCTTGGTGTACACGTTAATGTATATAAGCGATATCACGCATATCAAGGTAAAAAAAAGAAATACACCATACATTGCTGCAGCTCACGTCTCTATAGAAACACGGCTATCCAAATAAATCGCCTTTACTTATCCACTTTTTCGTTAGCAAAGTAGTGTTGACACCAGGTCACTGACAGGACAGAGACACTTGACAGAGACTTGTAAGGAATGAATATGCGTTGGCGTGTACTAAACATTGGAAATGGTTAAAATATCTAGTAAGGACAGCTGAACTCAATTTCAGCGTTAATGTCAAGTAATTACAGGGCGTTTATCCCAACACTGAGCAGCTGGTGATTTTCTGTATCGAATAAATGATTGCTTCCATTAAAATATTAATAACAAGTGACACGTAAAACATTGTAAATGTTACTTGCGCATTTCTAAACAACGCAGTTTGTTTCGTACATAATGTTAACAAGAGTTAAGAAGAGTTTTCTGGTCTACGGCTTTTCAAACCTAAATCTAAAACTCGTGAGTAAAAACAAACAAAAAACTGTCATCTTTTTTGTCGTTGTTCGTTAACTTGCGGTCAGTAGAAGAGGGGATCTGCCTACTCCTTACTGACGTACATTATTGACACTATAGGCAGTAACACTAAATAAACCCTGTTCATCCCACGTGAATGATGCCCGCGCATCCGCCATCCTCGTGTTTGAGAAGAAGAGACATGCGAGAAAATGTCTTCGTGCAGGACTTGCAGCTGTATTTCTTGATGTCGGAATGGGTTTGGAGGTGGGCACGTAAGTTCGAGCGGTCCGCAAACGCGCGTCCGCAGTGAGGGCACTTGAACGGTTTTTCCCCTGTGTGCGTTCTAATATGTCCCTGAAGTAGCCATGGCCGACTGAACGCCTTGCCGCAAAGTTTACATTTACAGGGCAGCGTGTGTGTGCGTATGTGCATCTTGAGTGCCCCCAAAGACACGTAGGTCTTGTCGCAGTATTTGCAGTTGAACTGCTTCTTCACCTGCGTGATACAGTGAAATTGTTTGTGTTTCGACAGTCCACTGAACGTTGAGTAGCTCTTGTTACACGCTTCACAATGGTACCTCGGGGGATCGCCTAGTTTCCGCCTCTTTTCCACATCTTTCGTGTCTTCAATGATGCTTTCGATGCTCCAGGGCAACTTTGGCTTCTCTTTCTGCTTTGGGCTCAGTTCTGTGATCGGGGATCTCTCATAGCGACCGCTGTCGGCGTACAAACGCTCTGGCATAGGAGGATGTGGCAGGAGAGGGGGCGACGATCTCGGTATTGGCAAGATGGGCGGGGGCGGCAGGTAGGCGCCTGGGAACGGTGGGTAGTACGGACTGTACTTAAAGCTGTCGTGCAAAGATTGGAAATGTAACTGATGAAGTCGATGGAAATTGCTGCCGTAGAGGCCAAAATAAGGCGACCCGAATCCGCCAAAAGTCGACTGCCAAAACGGCACGTCATGGTACTTCAGAACCTCCGGACTGCGTGGTTTCAGAAGTTCTGGAACTTTCAGAGGTTCTGGCAGTGAACTTTTCATTTTCAGCGCCTCGGGTTCCATGTGGCGAGTCTCTGTTGTTGGAATAGGTTCAGGCTTGGCAATCATGGCCACGGCTGACTGTGGGGGAGACTTCATGCTCAAGTCATATACTACCTCGGAATAAAGCTCTGACTCTGTCTTTGCGACTGGTGGTGGTGGTGGAGTAATTGGCTCAGTTTCTGTAATTAAAGAAAAATTCTGTAAATCCATCCCTTTCTTTCTGTTAAAATGTCATAGAAATGTTTAAACTAATTATATGGCAAAACAAAACTCCAGATTTTAACGTACAGATATAAAGTTTACGTTAAAAAAACATGCAATTCAAAAGAGTTTTCTATTGCCCCAACGCATCGCAGGGCAAAGTGATAAGAATTAAAGTCTAATAGAAATATGCTATCATGCAGTTGCCATTATCTTCGCGTTCCAACAACCCCTTTGTGAATACTTCAAATTACCGTTTGATCACATCGAAAAGAATGCCGAGTGAAATTAAAAGGAAATATTACTTCTACGATACAGAGATAAACATACACATTATTATCAGTGATTTTTATGAAAGCATTTTGAAACTGTTTGACGGACCACGTTGTTCATTGATGTCAAAGAAAGCGCTGAAAGATCATCGCTAACACAAAAGCTCCTCCGGTTTCATTTTTACCGCGCAGCAGGCGTGACTGCTGCTTCAATTCCTGTATCACGTTCGGACACTTAATTTTATTTTTCATCTGATTGTTCAGTTCGCTTTGACTTTGTCACCTCCAGTTATGAGCCGATAGTTGTAAGCGTCACGCGTTATTAGCCACGACCCTTTCTGCCATTTGTGTCTCTTTGACATAAGACTTAACCCCTGGAGTAATTAAAAAAAGTGCGCAGGTGAGATCTAACGAGATCGTCTGCGATTGTGCACTACTTTCAAGGGAAATGAAACAATTAAAATAGACCGCCTTCTGGATGTTTGATAGAGGAAATTAAAAATCCCCGCTCAGTTAATCTTAATAAAGTAATTAGGCCCAGTTCGTGGATGTTCCATATTCCCGGCTTTGAAACGCGGGTGACGGAGTGTCATCGATTAAAAGCCGAGATAGAAAAGCAGTTAAAATATCGTTACAGGTAATTTCCGAGGAACCTCATTGTAGTTCGAGTAATCGATATTGCTCTTTCAATTGAATCTCGCAATCAAAGAAACGACACCAGAAATCAGTAAAAGTGCTACGTGTCGTCTGCGCGAAACGTCATACGGGTTCTCGGGCACACGCGTTTACGAGACCGAGACCGGGCACATGGACAAGCAATGTAGTTCACCAGTCCGCTCAATCTGTAGTTTCTACACAGTAAGTGGGGCTCGGTCATATGGATAATGAACAGTGACGCACCGAACAAAATGCTTTCACAGAAATTCCGCAACTCCGAGATGGAAGTCCCCGGAAAGGAAAAGTCATAACTTGTGAATCGCGAGGTAGAAAATTACACTTTCTGTTAGAACAAGGTGTGTTGACTGGAAACAAACATATCACGTTATAAGCACACACTGCCTCAGGAGTTATCTTTCCTGACATGCGAAATACAACGCTAGCCATGGCGAATACTTAACGACTGAAAATGTAACCTTCAATCAAAGAGCGACACTAACCGCAATTGTTCGAAATATATCTTTGAATAAGCTAGGTCCCATCAAACTATAAGGTTTTGTACTGACGTCCAATACGCGTTATTCACTAGACGGAACATAAATATGATGTTACAGTGGAACATAAATATGATGTTACTTATTATAAAATAACAATGTTCAAAGGAATTTCGTAGAATACGAGGAATGATCACCACGCCTACCTCAGGGCGGTGAAAGTTAAAACTGTGACCAAGGTAGGATTTATTTTGTATCCTAGGGCCAAGCTCGCAACCGAAGCGACGACGGTGGAAAATCAAGGACGAAACTATTAAAAACCTGTTCTGTTGTTCAACAGCTCCACTATTAAGAATGTTAGCAGCAAGTGCATTATTCTGAACCAGTGTAGTCTCGTCCGGGATCCCCGCTGGCTACCTGTATAAACTTCAATAAATACTCTTGATTCTTAGCTGTGTCGTAAATTAATCCATTCTTTTTTTTTCAGTCGAAATGAAATGGTGAACAACTAGAAGAAAACGGACAGAAAAGGGAGCACGATGAAGAAGATAGCGCAGAGGATGAATAAATGAATGGAGAGAGAGAGAGAGAGAGAGAGAGAGAGCGAGAGAGAGAGAGAGTCATAAATAAAACAAAATTTCGATCACGGTGTTGTCAGTCGACCGCGTATTGAGCCGGGGTGGTATTCCGGATATTGCAGTGCTTGTTGCTATTGTACAGACAGCAAACGCGGTCACAATATCACCAACCTCGCGGTGAGGGCGATGTTATTAACTTGTTTATTTCTCGGAAAAGATTTTGATTACAGTTTCATTTTCTGTCGCGAGCAGGTTGAGGACCATATTGCCATTATCGAAGGATAACATTCCGCTTCCTATTTCTTGTATGATTGTGAAAAGGCATATTCGTCAAACTGATTCGTTTATACGGAAAGTTTAAGCGATCAGGTTGATGATGAGATTGCTTCGGACTTTTTTTTGCAATCTTAGCTCATTTACGATTTCAAATAAAGTCATGTCCACTTTCCAAACAAATGTTGAGTGAAAATTGATGAAGACTGATCACTCCGAAGGATTGCTGGCAAGGTAACGCGGACTTAATCTCGCCGATTTAAAGAAGCGGTTTTGAACACAATTCACAATGAGATTAATACCATTTATCAAAACAGCAGCCACCAATTCAATATTGAATTCACAACAAATATTCAAATCTTTAAGATGAAAAATATAAGTGAAGATTCGACACCTTTCGCACGATCGTCGATTTAAACTTAATCTATAAAATTGAAAAAAAAACAACATTAAACTGTAATTACCTCTGTAAAAACAAGTGTTGGGTTAATAAATACAGTAATTAATTTTATCTTTCCTAAGCCAGTTGACATTTGTAGTTTTGTCGTCGTTGACAATTTGGTCTTTATCTTAACTTCATGTGTTATTTCATAAGTGAGCGGCAGTTGTTTCCAGGGCGTGAGATATTTGAACACTTGTGCCGCGATCATCTTGGTCTTTTCATTAAGGTTCATGGTCTTATGTCATCATTAACTTTCTACTCAATTCGCAGTTCCATGTCATTCCGTGAAATGTCAGTGCCACGGTCGTTGAGGACAAATGAAAAAAAAACGATTGACGCTTTTCAGTGTCATCTTTATCACCAGTCATTGCGACTGTCAACCGTAAACAGGTAATTTTTAATCATTGATTTCTGGCATTTTAATTTGATTTGTGTGAGACATGTCAAATGCCAAACATTAATGAACTTTCAATGTCCTTTTACTTATGCCAAAAAAAAAAATAAATAAATATTACTTTTTTTAAATTTTAAACGTGTCGCCACATCTACTGTTATTTTTTTCTCCAACTAAATAATAGTTGTTAATGCCATATCCAGTTAAGAGTTTTAAATCTCTCGTTTTTTCTTCGTGGCATGACGGATGACTCGAGTGATTGAAGGGCAATAAAATATAATGAAGAAATCTCTATTTTACTTAAACCAAATGTCTCGATTTTTGCCATTATATACTTCCTCACTTCATACCTTAGCCTTATTATGTTAAATTGTTAAATGACATCAGATTGCTTCAAAAGTATTTTCATTTACTTCAAAAATTTAACGCATAATTAAGAAATTGTTAATTTGTTTTTTTTTTCTCCTTATTTTCGGCAATTGCAGGTACTCCTTAAGTAATTTTAAGCAAACTTGTTCATTATTTAATGTTCCATTTGATGGTTTTTGACTGAATAATAAAAACTCATTTTTTAGCTTTAAGGCACGACTCGATAAGAACATACACACTACGCGACCAGTGTTCAGAAAAGAGGTGTTTAAAGTCCATCATTTAAAAAAATCACCATTGAATGACCACTGCACGGTATATCTTATAACATGGCCGTCCACTTTTTTTCCTAAATCATTACGACAGTTGGTCGAGTTGACAGTTTGACGGCGAACATACCTTTCCTTGGCCCAAGGCCATCCTGTCAAGCTGCACGTCTATGTTAACACACGAAGACTATCATTACTCTATTAGTAAGTCATCAAAGTCTACAGAAATAGCGTTAACTCCAGTTCAGACTTACCGGATAATCTCGTCGCGGGTGATGATCTGTCTGGGGCGACACAGTCCCTGCTTGTTGCCTTCTCCTCCCTCTCTTCTTCTTGTCTCCTCTCTCGGGGACTTGACGGGTCTCGCGCTGGTGACGACGCAGCGTCGGTGTCCGTCAGTTTCGCTGCCGCGGCCGCTGCCTCTCGGGCGTCAATCTCCGCAGCTAGGGCCTCTGCTGGGACCTGAATGTAAAGTCCGTCAAGTGTTTTCTTAACGAGAAAAGATTTTGGCATTTTGGGGAAGCCACCTTCCCACGGTGAGTTATTCTCCACTGCTCTGGTGACAGTTGAAGTGTGTGGCACTTCGCACCTTTCTGCGGTCCTCTCACTGAATGAAGTTATTAAAGTTGAATTAATCCAGTCTCGATGTTGTGGTACGGTGACAGGTGTGGGTGCATTATCAGCCCCTCCTAAGTGTCCACTGCTGAGTCGAGGTGCGAAAAGCATGGACATTGACTGACGATTCTGGCTTGGAGAAAAAAAAAGATTCCTCGCTTCTGTCTCTGGTATTCTATTTCTCACTTGCTCCTCTTGTCACGGTCAGAGAACTCTGAAGTTTCTGTTGCCTTCACGTGGAGATGAATTCATTATGTACTGCACTACGAGCACATCATATGTAAATAGCCCACCTGGCCGACCAATCAGTGCGTGCGTAACTCAGGTAACAACCTTGCGTCAACCAATCAGCGCCTTGGTGACTCGCCCTCCATCAGCACGCCCCAGGTAATTCAACACCCGATATTTTCTTACTGGAACAGGTGCTCATGCTTCTACACTAAACGCTGAGATTGAAAAGCGGTTTGTTATAGTCATTAGTCAGCCATTTGGAAAACGATAATACGATTGTTAAACTGCGGAGAGCAAGGGTCTATAAGAGCACGGCGAGAGGGAGCGCAGGAGACCCGAGTTTCAGCGCCCCCTCTGCCTCGATGGACCATGTTCTGACCGCTGAGAGTCGCTGAATCGGAGATAATTAGACCATTTGCACGGGAGAAAAACGCGTTATTGAACTCCTCATTAAAATGACCATCTTTCCACTAAACTACGTCAATTTTCGTTTGTACAGGGGTCTCTCTAAATAAGACAGGTTCATACTGGGAGCACAGTCCGATCGATATCACGTCAAAGGAGTGTTGACCAAGACGCTATTACCGACAACCAGTTCCTTATTTTAAATAACCATTTGTAGCAGTCATCTGAAAGTCAAACTATGCTGCTGACTTGGTGAGCACAAAGTGTACTATAACAGTACACACCGTAAGGTCCAGGAATATCCAATCGTCAATCTGACGCAGTCCGGTCAACAGAAAGATCAACTGAACCAATTGACTTGTTTTCTGATTTGTAGGTGCTCACGCCTTGTCATATGTACTGTTATAGTACACTGTACTTGAATGCATAATCCTGTTACAAGATACTTGTTTAATATCCTATAAGGTGTCTACCTGGTATCGGGGCGAAAGGGGGGAAGAAAAATAGAGATAACTCTAGATTTCAGGAAATGCCTGAATTTCCGAGTAGAGGCTCTCGGGTCTGGTCTATTGATAACAATTAATTTAGGTAGGATATAGAGGTGGGGTGTTTTGACTGGCTGCCACTCGCTGTTTTGGCATTTATCTCATTTTTGATGGTTAGAACTAAACTTCGCTAAAAGATATATATCAAATTTCTGAATGTAAGGACTTGGGTTCAAATACATAACAGGTTGATTACTGTAAATGACGACAAAATTTCGTTTTGCAAATTTGTTCTAATAGATAAAGTGGAAGACCTTTGCCATACCAGATTATAGAATTTGTTCTCTCGCTGTGATGAGGTGGAAGAGAGGTTTTCATAATTATTCAGAAAGTTCCTGACCTTTTGACGGCTTTGCACTGACTGTGCGTGGCACCCACAGCAGAATTAAAACTCCACCGCTTTATATAAAATTTTAAGCACAGACAGTGAACGCGCGTCATTTAGCTACGGTATTAATATGTAGTGGATCGAAAAGCCGTGAGCATTTGTCCCCAATGCATATAGAATAAATCCACCATAAATAAACCAATTATTGGATTTCATATTGTAGTTCGTTGCAATACTTGCTCCAAGCCATGCGTTTTATGAAGCTGCAAAATGGTAATGATTCTGTTTCACTTGTCGAAGAGCTTTTTACTCCATTAAATACAGGTAATTAAACGTTGGAACAATGCTTAGCTCAAGCGAGTTCCTGTTCGAACATGGTAGTCCAGGCGCCTAACTGAAATGAATACATTTTTTTAATGTTTTTATCAGCTTACTCGTTGTTCTACCAAGAGGTGATCGCCATATTTATATAATGGAAGGATTCACCCCTAAGGTCCTTCATATCCACTGCACACTTTAAACGAGAATTTTTTATACTCTAATTTATTTTAATGGTGCACGTCCAACTCTGTTTTCCGGATGCCCATTTTTAATAAAAATTTTAATGCTAACAGATTATCTCCTAGTTAACAGCGATGACAAGTTAAATAGATTATCAAATTTATGTCCACCTTATATATCAAAATGAACAAATACAAACTGAAAGCGTGCAAAATGGTGTAAATTTCTCAATAAATCTTTTGGTAGCACGTGATTCCGAGTATCTCAATTTAAATCGATTTGCATTATGCTATCTTATGATATAGTGCGGCATAATAGATGGTGTAAACAACTTCATGTAACTGGAACTGTTGACTTGGCAAAAAGAGACAACCATCTATCCAGCTTTGTATGCGGTCGGGTTGACATAACCATAAGCTTCGAGTTTGACACGCGTCACCATACTAATGATTTGTTGATTTATTTACACCCTATCTGGTACATTTTTTTCATTCATGTTGCTCATGTATAGATAGTTTTTTCACCTTTTTGATTTAAACCTGTGTTCTGTTGTTTGTCAGTATCTACATATTTTTGAGAAGTGTAACTGCATATTTTTTTATAATGATTCTCCAGTTTATTAAGATTTATTGAGGGATACAGCAATGAGAAAAAAAACCACCTATTGTTTGTCTCGACTTCTGCATTATCTCCCACCTTCCCATTCCTCCTTTCCCCCGTGGCGAACATGCTCCACCTTCCTGGCTGGTACATCAGGATCGGTCAGCAAGTGGAAGCCAATATTTCATCCCCTGGTTATTCTCCAGCCAACTTGACCGTCTTCCTCTCGATTATCAGGCCACCGCCTCCATATCCACTTGTCACAATGGTTTGACCACGGGGTATTAGATGGTCATTATCATTATTTGTCATCATCTTGGACTGTGTGACTGATGCCCGCGGGTACGCCCTGTTCTTACACATCTCTCCATCTAACATCCCCCTGGGGAGCACGTGCTCTCTCTCTCTCTCTCTCTCTCTCTCTCTCTCTCTCTCTCTCTCTCTGTGTGTGTGTGTGAGAGAGAGAGAGAGAGAGAGAGAGAGAGAGAGAGAGACCACATTTTGACGTTATTCTTAAAGAAGTATGATTCTCTGCAAGGATACGGGGATATGCGGTGACGTATTTTTATCACATTTACTGAATGCCCATCAAATCCCTCAGTTTGGTTGTAGTCTACATTAAATAAAATCCAATATTGTTGCCGTCATTTCCACGCTTCTTCGCCGTTCACTACTGCAAGTTTGAAAAAAAAGGAAAAATAGAAAAAAAAGCATTTCCAGGAAATGGGCGTTACAGTGCCCCCCCCTCCCCTCTGGACCCTTCTATGCCTTACACCGGGATGGACGGAGTAACCCTGGGCCCGGTTTCTCAAAACAACCTTGGACCGAAATTTGTCGCAACTTTTGGTCTCATCAATTCAGACTTAATCTACACAAATACGTTGGCAAAATGAAGCTATTAGTTTCAATCAGTTGCAGTTTCTTTTTTGTCACAAAACATGAAGGGTATTTCATTTTATGGACTACCACAGATTTACATTGGATCTCAGCAAACTAAAGTTTTCGGCCAATTTCGGTTTAAATTTCTTTTCTGTGACACAAGACCCTGGGAATAACCTCCGGGTAATGGCAGCCCCCTATAATGGGAAATCATGAGATGATGATGAGGACAAATTAAGGCTCGGCGCAGGTGATACACAGGCATGAGGAAGTGACGTAATAAAAACTAATTACACTCCTATATATTCAACCCGAATTTTGACATTTCAGAACTGCTACGTAATCTTTGTGGTGGCACTTGTGGAAAAAGGAAGAAAATGTTCCGATGACAGATCCAGAAAAAGACGGAGCCAAAGAGGATGAGAATTAAAAAAAAAATTGAAAATTCCCGTTCCTAATTCAATGATTTAGCCAGGTGTAGAGGGAGCAAAGGTGGATAAGAACGAAAATACCCCATCCTTAAAGCCATTCTAATGTTTATAGAGATTAAAATAAAGCCACTGTTATTTGGTGCGTGACATCCTTCAAATCACGAAGAGAAAAGGAAGAAATTCTTTCTCTTTTGATCAAATCTCCGAGAAGTGAAAATTCACCGTTCTCTAACAAGTGCGCCACAATGACGTTGTTCTTACACAGCCAACCTGAAAATTGTATCACACCTTACAACAAGAGAAAGAACACACGAAAACAACGCATTGTTATTCCATAAGTATTTTTTGTATATAACCATTTACTCGGAAGCGTCATTTCTAAACAAGCGTTTGTCCCTGCTCTGTGCATCCCTGGCTAAGCGCAGAAAGCAGTCGACAAAGGGGACAATAACAAGAAAACATATTTTGCGCGTTCTTATCTGTTTACGGCATACTGGTGGGAGGAGATCGCACATAATGGACAGAGTTTGCTTTTCATGAACGTGTCACCTGCTCAAAATGGCAGAATAATGGAAAAATAAACAAAGAAAAAAGCGTTTTGTCGCTCGATTGTACAAAATGCGTTTTGATCTCCGTACTCTTTGTGGCGACGGCGTTTTTGCTCGTGAGGTCGTGACCCCTGAAGAATACCGTGCACAAAGAGAAAAGAAATCACAATTGTCGCAAAATATACGCGGGTTATAAACTGTAAACAGAGCAACAAAAATAGTACCGATCTACAACAACAGTTGGTGAAAGGCCCGCTGTCAGTCCCTTTCAGCTCAGCGTGTAACTTTGTCAACGGACCACACCTGCTGCTGGGGCAGTGCACGTGGAAAATACAGCGCGAGCTGGGAAGCCGCCTTCAATCAGCGAACTTTTTATAACCGAAACCCAGTCGAGCAGCAAGGTCAGTTTTTCTCCCAGGAACGCGATTGTTTCCACTATCCTCATCTCAGTTCACGGACAATGAGGTGGAGAAGGTTGACCAGTGCGGGTAAATTCTTCCACCTGACCGAGGCAGGGCGATCTCAAACTGATCACGTTGTCACCATGATTTTAATGAAACTTTTCACTGCCACATGTGTGAACTTTGACCTTTTGGAAACATTGTTTCGTTGTATAGTAGCTAAAATGATCCACTGGTTGAAGAAAGAGGGAACTCTGTTTTGCTTGCTAAGTATACAAAGAATAGTTACATATTTTAACTTGCCTGGATCGGTATATGTTTCATTGGCTAAGAAAATCTGTACTAGAAAATTTGTTTTTAAAGGAAAAACAATGATATTTATTGAACATATTTAAGGTTGAAGAAAGGTGACCAAGTACAGTTAT